GCCTCTGTCAGCCGGCTCACGTCGTCCAGGTGCCGCTGCCCCTCCTGGGCTAGCCGGCGTTCCCCAAGCCAATTATTGAAGGCCCGCGCCTCCTCCAGCTCTCGCTTCAGCAGCAGCGGCTGCAGGTCGTAGCTCGGATAAGTCTTGCGGAACCACCGGAGCATCTGAGGCTCGTTGCGGGGTTCTAGGGACATCATCTTGCTTTTCATACCAGTACGCTAGCGCCCGCCGTCAGCCGGTCGTACGCCGACTGCCTCTCCAGCATGCGCGTGGCGCGCTCGCTTGGCCGAGGCGCTTCTTCCTCCCTGTGTACCTCGGGTCGTACCTCGGGCTCGGGCTGTACCTCGGGCTGTACCTCGGGCTCTAGCCTCGGGCTCAGTCTTGGGCGCTGCCTTGGGCTTGGGCGCTGCCTTGGGCTTGGGAGCTGGCGCGGCAACTGCCTTGGCCGCAGCCTTGGGTGCTGCCTTGGACGCTGCCTTGGGCGCTGCCTTGGGCACAGGCGCTGCCTTGGGCGCAGCCTTGGGTGCTGCCTTGGGTGCTGCCTTGGGTGCTGCCTTGAGTGCTGCCTTCGCCACGGGTGCTGCCTTGGGTGCAGCCTTGGGCGCTGTCAGGGATCATTTTTTTGCTCTTCGGCAGGCAGCTTGGGCGGCTTGGGCTTGTTCTTACTACCCGGAGGTCTGCCTCTAGGCCTTGGCGCCGGTTGCGCTTGCTTCATCGGTTTTTTAATAGAAAATATGTTTTTAAAAGACCTTCGGGGGATTAGACGTGATCCAAAAACAGCACGAAGGACAACGACGACCCCCGCAGTCGGACGACTTGGCCTTCCAGGTCTGTCAGCCGGAAGCGCAGGTGTCTCAGGGTGATGGGGCCCCTAACAGCCATGAAGCGCCCGTCATCAGAGCCGGTCTCCACGATGATGCCCACGCCGCTCTTCAGCGTTATCTTGGACAGGATGTCGTCCCCCAGATTGCCCAGCACGCGGCTGGCGTTGGCCAGCTGGGGGCAGCGGAGGTAGACCTCGCTGTATGCCATCATGCGGACAAACTCAAAGACCTGCTGCCCGCCAGAGACGAAGCTGGGGCCAAGCATGTGGTCGATGCTGAAAGGCTTGGTCGGCGATGCGGCCGGCGAGGTGGGGTAGTCCACACAGCGTCTGGGAACTGCTGCTGCAGCTCCAGATCGTTCAGAATGAGGCGGTTGCCGTCGTAGGCTACGCTCAGGCTGTTCGTGGTCTCGCTGTAGGTGGCAGTAGCGAAGTTGGAGCTGATCCAGGCGGCCAACCGTGCGCCTGTGTAGGCGCCTTCCGGAAGGAGCGCCCAATTCAGCGTGCCGAGCGCTGCGTCTACCCAGTACAAGTAGCGGCCCCGGTCTGTCGAGAGATCTTGTAGACGGCCAGCCTGGCGTCGCTCTGCAGGTGCAGAGACTCTCCCAGGTCTACCTCAAAGTCGCTGTCCGAGCCGGCTGCCCTCTTGCGGCTGTCCACGTAGATCGTCGTCATTCTTTTCTTTAGGAAGCCACCTGTTCGGCGAACGATGGGTGGCTGGACTGCTGCGACGGAGGTGCAGCAGGAGATGTTCTCACACCTCGCGTTGATCAGCGTGGAGCTGGCGAAGCCCTCTCGGCTCAAAGCCTTCGCGCGGCGGGGGCGTCGTGTTGCAGATTTGAGCCATGTCTGATGTCCAGTGTGTGCCGGCCTTGCTCCTTGCACAGCAATCATCTGGTGATATTCCTGATGTTGCTATGAATACAGATGTTGGCCCTTGTGTCGCTGAACCTTGCCAGGGACCTTACAACGTTGAATGCACAGGTACTTGGGATTTTCAGCTCCTGCTCCATGCATTGCCCGTAGATGACCTTCGGAGACTTTTCGGACCTCTTTGCACGTTTGAGAACTGGGACGAACTTTCGGTTTCGCATGTCCATTTTGCGCCGGGCCATTGTTTTTCAGGCCAAGGAACTCTCTGGTCTCGCTCGCTCAGTGAATGTATTCGTGCCGAGTGAATTGACACTTCAGCACAGTGTCATCAGGGCTTCTCTGGAGCACGGGACGCCAATCATTCTGCGTGGCATTTTGGCCATCATGAACCACCCGAGCCAACGTACCTTTGGGAATTTCTTTGGAACCACCCCTGACACGGCCTTTTATTCACCCTATTTGCTGGTGGCATCAGTGGTTGGACTTATGCTGTTAGGTTCTTGTCACGTTTGGGTATCCCGGTGAGAACCCCCCTTGCTCTTGACTTCTGTGAAGCGGCGGTCTACAATTATTCATCCACGCATGCGGCACAGACAATTTGTGGCGGACTCTCGTTTGACTTGCTCAAGATGCCCTCGGTTATTCATGGTAGAGTCCAGGATACTGGACCGTGGATGGCGGCATCTTTGCTCCAGGTCAATGCGGCCACTATCAGCTCGCCCTGTCAGACATTTTCACATGCAGGGCCGGGTACAGGTTGGATCTCGGCTGGTGGTGATGCATTCAAGGCTTCAATGGGCAAGGCATCCCTCTTGCAGCTCCGCATTTTGCTTTTTGAGAATGTGGGGCCGGTTTGGGAAGATTTGAGCCACAGGGCCACCTTTGTGAGCTTATTGATGCAGCATGGTTATACTCTGGTTGCGGCTGACGTTTTCGGACTTGCCGCGGTCACATCGGCAGACCGCAAGCGTTTTCTTGCAGTGGCGGTGCATGACTCGGTCATTGTCGATCCTGGCAGGGTCCGCTCGGTTTTGAGTAACATTCGTATGACCTTCTCTGCAGATGTTTTGAGTATGAGTCAAATGGATGCATGGTTTGACCACTTGCCGGATTTTGTCCATGAGCAAGCGATTCTCACTCAGCAACAGGTTCAAATCTATTCGGACCCATCACTCCTGCCCAGGAGGGGAAGTGGCATCAGTGTGCGCTTTGTGACCAAGGATCAGCCCATGCCTGCAACCTCTCTGATGAGGAAATACTCGCAGCAGCATACTATCTCTTCTTGCGCACTGGCACTCAGAAAACTCTTGGGTGATTTGAGGCAAGATGATGATGGCACCATTCGCTTTTTCACGGCCGTTGAGTTGCTCATGGCAATGGGGGTTACAGATGCTATCATTTTGCCTGTGGAGTTGTCACCGGCCTGTGAACTGGTAGGCAACAGCATAGCCGAGATTCACGCACTTGCTGCCTTGTGGATTGCTGTCAAAGGTTTGCTTCACGTGGAGGTGGATATGACCTTCGCAGACATTCTTCGGCACTTCAACCAGGCGCGACTCAGAGCTTCCCAAGTGCATTTTACAAATTTGTCAGGTGCGTTGGTGGTCCATCGGACCAATGAAAAGCTCAGTACGCATGTGCAGGCCTACCACTTGGTTCACGCACTCATCCGTGTTCAGGGCAGCCGATATGAGGTCGACGTCAGGGTGGGCGAATCTATCGCTTATGCCCTCAGTATGCTCCAACTTGCTTTCCCTGCAGATGAATGTATCTTCACTGTCAATGGTAAGTTTGCCAACCTTTCCAGTGTACTGTGGTACTCTTGCTGCATTGAGTGCATCCAGCATTCGCCTACCATCAGCCCGACTTTGCATTTTCAGGTTTGCATGGATGGCCCACGGCCAAAAAGTGGTGTGCACCCTGCCGGGCTCTGGCAGGCAATTTCCGCTGACGCCAGTCAACCCGATGGGCAACGCCTCTTGGTTCGGTGCTGGACTGGGAATGCAGTTACCGCAGAATTGCTCCTTGACCCGCTTACACCCTGCGAGGTCATTCAACAGTCATGGACGAACATGTACGGTACCACCCTTGACATTGACACCAAGGTGTATTCTACATTGGCCCATTGCACGGCCCTTGCTGGAGTTGTCGATTTGCAGGTTCGGAATACAGATATACCGCAGTTCCAAATCTTCGTGCAGGGTATCGGTACGGGCCCCAAATGCATCATGGTGGATGGCCGTACCACTTTCCGTGAGTTATTGGATCAATTTGAGCTGTCTTCGGATTTGTATTGCCTCTTCAAGGCCGCCCACCAATGTCCCCTTGGTACTTCTTTGGAGGATGCGGGAGTTAGGAGACATGACTGGTTGCAGGTTTGTAAGCGTGACCGTGGCGGTGGCAAACCGCCCCGGGTGGAGGGTGATGCAATCGCTGCACTTACCACCATGTTACACAATCAAGGAGCCGACAAAACTGAGGCTGACAATTTCGCCAGGGCTGTCATGCCCAAGGTCGGAGCACCCAGAATGCTCAGGACAGCAGCGGAGACCCACTCTGATAAGATTATCAAGGGCCTGCGGGGTATTGCTGCTGCAGCCTCAATCAAACTGCCGCACTTTAGCCCCAGTATTGTCACATCCCACAATATCCCGGCCCGGCCCATGATGACCAGTGCATCCAGTTTTACATTGGTTGCATCGCATGCAATTGCTCCAGACAAGAGCCACCCGGTATTCTTGCGCAGTGTTCCTAACAAGCCCACTTGTGCCGTGATCCTTCTTAATCAGACAGACGCGATACCTTGGCTTGAGGAAGGCTCCACCACCAGTGTGCCATGTGCTCTTTTGGTCCTGGGGCACAACTGCAGTTGTACCCGTGGCCCCGGATGTGTCCGCATGACATACCCGGCTTGGGATCATGACCAGAACCCTGTCGTTTTGGCAGTCAGCTGTCACCAGTTGCATGCCACTGAGAAGATCACTTTTGCCAACCCGGAAAAGACCATCAAGGTTGAGACCACATTTGTTGTTCCTCCGGGGCCCCTTACCACACAATGGCTCTCCCTCAGGGGCTTGCCATAGTGGGAAGGTTTGAGCCAAGGCCAAGAAAAAGCCAACACGGCAAGATAACCTTAAACGGGGACACGGTCGGTTGACCAAAACCAACCCCACACCAAACAGGGGACCACCCCAAAACTCCTTCAACCGAGACCGCCCTTAAAAGTCCCCCAAAAGTCTTCCAGGCATTAAAAAGGGGGAAGCACAAAGTACATGCAAAGTCGCACACACTCACTTGCTCTTTTGTCAGGTGGTGAACCGCCTCCGCTGCGAGGGCCCTGCCTTAGGCACGGCCCCGGGGTTTTCTTCCGTGCCATTTACATCCTTAATGGCTTACGTCCGCACCCACACATGTGGGTGATTCGCCATCCCCCCCTAGGCGGAAATTTGCCGAAGAACAAAGGGAGGGTAACGCAGTGATTGGGAGGGAGCCAAAGAATGATCCGCAATGGCTGCCCATGGTATTCATTAATGCTTGCTTCACGCATGCTCAAATGCAATGTGTGTTCCGATTCCTGTTTCACAAGAAAAATGTTCGAGCACATCACCAGTTAAAAATTGTTGTAACATAATCAGACAACCGCCACAAGCCCTATGCAAGCCTTGTGTTCGGCTCACAAAGATGTAGTTGACACTCCTACAACGCTTAACGCGCCATTTCAAAAATGGGAGCACAATACCCCAGTTGGAACAAACACCTTGGGCGAGCCCAATCAATTTGTTCCTCCGGGGCCCCTTACCACACAATGGCTCTCCCTCAGGGGCTTGCCATAGTGGGAAGGTTTGAGCCAAGGCCAAGAAAAAGCCAACACGGCAAGATAACCTTAAACGGGGACACGGTCGGTTGACCAAAACCAACCCCACACCAAACAGGGGACCACCCCAAAACTCCTTCAACCGAGACCGCCCTTAAAAGTCCCCCAAAAGTCTTCCAGGCATTAAAAAGGGGGAAGCACAAAGTACATGCAAAGTCGCACACACTCACCTGCTCTTTTGTCAGGCGGTGAACCGCCTCCGCTGCGAGGGCCCTGCCTTAGGCACGGCCCCGGGGTTTTCTTCCGTGCCATTTACATCCTTAATGGCTTACGTCCGCACCCACACATGTGGGTGATTCGCCATCCCCCCTTCGCAGAACGAATCACCACTCTGTACGGGTTTCCATCTTGGCCCTCTTGGTCAATCGCTGAGTCAAGTCCCTTGTGGTTTTGTGATGCACCAGGTCCTGCTCCAGCGCTTCTAAATGGCACTGCAATTCATGCACCAAGCCAAGCCCCAGGTCTTCATATTGCAACTCAACCCGCAAACTCTGCAGGAATGCATCAAACTTTTTGTTAGTCAGATCGTCCGCTTCCTGGTTCTCTGACCGTGGCCTCCATCTGGTCTCAAACCAGAAACCCGCATCCCAGACGCTGCTCTGAAGCTGCATCAAAATCAGCGCAGTGGGTTGCTTTGTTGTCAGCCGCTTCCGCGATAGATGTTCACTAGCCAGGTTATCCGTTCCCGCGCACAGCAAAGACAATCCTGCCGGCTTCCGCGTCGCCTTGGGCCCCAACCAGCCAAAGGCAAACAAACCTGCATAGGCCGCAAGGATCTCGGCTGCCGTGCTCATTTTCTGTACATCCAAACCCCTGTAAAACAACCACGGAGCTTGACTCGGCAACACATCAAAGCTGAACCAACGTGCCTGGTCGACTTGGCTCCCCGTAGTTTCCCAACCTGCCAGCGTGATCACACCCCTGATGCATTTGGCGTCCACCCTGAACGCCTCAGGACCTCCAGACTTGGGTGACCAGCAAGGAGAGAGGTTGTTACCTGCTAAGAGTCGCTGCTTAATGTGGAGCATGACCAGTGCAACCATGTTGGGCAAGCGCCGTGTCTGGAAAGTGGGCGCCACCCTCGCCCAAGGGTAGAATATCGCCAGCAGCGGTCTAATCCAAGGAATGGCTTGCGAGGCAAAACCCAACCTTCCTAAAAATTCTGCAAAGGCACGCCCCGTCATATGCCATTGGTTGTCTTCGGCCGTCTCCACCACAGCGACCACCCAGCGTGTACGGCTTTCACTAAGGCCCAACTCAAATCGCTTGCAATCAATCCAGAATCCAACGAAATCCAGGGCAAAGCCTCCTCTGAACTTAGCCCAAGTCATCGGTGCTCCCAACATCATCCATGCCGCCAAAAGAACCCATAGGTTCAGAAACTTTGCAGATCCCCACACCGAAAATTTAACATCATCAGCAAAGATCAACTGCCAGCATGGTTGCCGTTTTAGCAGTCGAATGACAACTCTGCCCACTGCGCCAATCAGTCGACCAAAATGCAGCGCAGCACAGGCGACCCCAAAGGTGCCGACCCGATTCACCCAGGTCACCCCGTCAGCGGCATTTATTCGGCAGCACAGATACCCATGGTCATCTTCATGATGTCTAAACCGTCGGTGGGCCTTCGAAATATCGCCCCCTACCTCAAACACAACTGCAGTTCCATCGCTTTGCGACTCCTCCATGCTAGTTGCAATTTCGGCAGGGGTGACAAACTCAAGCTGATCATCATAGTGTATCATGTTGTTGACCTGAACCCCATGCGTTCCGTCAAACAGAATTCGCACTGCGTCAGAGCCGTCCTTCGGAATGGCGGCCAAGCTGGCTACTCTCAGTCTGTCCCCAAACCGCTGCTCAGCTACCTTGTTGGAAAGTGGGTAAACGAAACCCAGCCTCTCCTCCTCGGCAAACTGCTCCCGGATCTTCTGCTCATGTTCCTGGACTGAGGAGTAGTTTTCTGAGATGGGCCGAAACGAAGATTCATCGTACCTCTGAGATTTCAGCCTGGGCCGGAAAACCAGCGGCGCTCGTGGTATGGGCGTCTCCACCCCCACCCTGCGCCCTAACACATAATTGTCACCCGGGTGTTGATCAATAATCTCGTGGTCCTCATCTCCCATCTCTCTCAGCGTGGCTGCCAACGCATGCAAATAAAAGGGCTGATGTTCCTCCACCCTTGCCATTCTTGGGTCCTTGGGCAGGAGCTTAAACCACTCCCCTCTCAACTCCGAGAGCTGCTCTTCGCTGAAAGGTGGGGACCCCATGTTCCGAGTCGCAAGCTGGAACGACGACCTGGCCAGATCTCTCACATGCTTCAAAACAAAAGTGCGCACAACCAAAGCCAACCTGTCAGTGAACCGCCCCGCATCTCCGCTCAGGCCCATGCCCCTGTCCTGTGGCCTCCACCGGCCCGGTGAATTTAGTCCGAAACCATCGGCAAATGACTTCTTCCGATTCTGCCAATTGCAAGTCATCGGCAAACCCCGGTTATGCTTGGCCGCACCCTCCAGTCTGCCATGAAAAGCCAGGTCTTCCTTGCAAATAATCTGCTCACTCAACATTCGCTGCACTTGCTTGTTGTCCAACTCGTTCTCTTCCTCCTCCATCTCCGCTGTCTGCTCCTCCTCCCCCTCATCCCCCTTCGAAGACAAGGAGGGAGCAGTCGCTTTGAAAGCATGCCATAAATACGATGCCATAGCTTTGCACAACATTGGAGGATACGCGGCTGCTGGTGTGGTTCTCCAGGAGCCATCTGGCATCTTCCCAATGAGTGAGTCTTGATGTGATTGATGAGGGCATGTTTTTGGGAGAGGGCCCGCGTAGGTGCCGTCTGCCCTCAATCGCGGCATGCCTTTATACTGCAACAAACCTGCCTCATCTGCAAATTTCTCATGCGACACTGCTAGCCTGGTCGGTTTCGAGGTCGGTGCATTGAACGTGCATTGAAATATGGCAGCTGTGCAGGCACCCTCGTCCAACAATGTACCAAACGCTGGGAGTTCCCAAATACTTGCAGGTACAAGTCCGTTTGAAATTCCAAGCTGTTCTGGATGTTCCAACAGAAAAACACGCTGCAATGAAATCATGACAGAACACGCTGCAAGCGAGCGATCAATGAGCAAATTTGCTGCTTGTGCTTTGTGAGCGTCGCGTGTGTTTAGCCAGGGAAAACCCAGTGGGTAATCCTGTGACCGCAACGGGCGAGGCCCTGGCTGGCAAACGTTGTGCCGCGCACGTGAGTGCGTGTTGCAAGGTGGTGCTGCGATAATCGCGTCAAAATGTTTCTGTTGGAGTTTGTTTGACAAATCCAACCAGAGGTCATCAGCGGTCAAATCATGCGTTGGGTTTCGCAAGAAATCAAGCTCAAGCATGCAAAGGTTGAAACCATCATTGCCGCACAACTGCTCCAAATAAAACCGTATATCTGCATGTCTCTCACCTCCGGCAAACATGTACAGCAAACGAAATTTCGGTCGTGCAAGTGGGCCATGTACAGGGGCGGTCAGAGGAGCGGGCCCATGGCGCTCCTCCCCTTTGCTTTGTCATTCCTGTTGGGTCGGCGGCGCAGCACCGCCTCCCCCTTTGCGTGCTGCTGGCTTGAAACGGCAGTTGTCCCTGCCGTGGCCTCCTTTCAAGCAGATTTGGCACACATGAACTCGCTGGCATCCCTTGCACGCTGATTTGTCACCTTTCTGAAACTCATAGCAAATAGGGCGTCCGTCAGGGGTGGCTGAATACAGGAAACCAAACTTGTTGTCCGGTCGCCCCAGCTTACCCTTACCATGGCCCTTCTTTCCCTTAACCGAGGGACCACCTTTGAAATATTTCCACGGTTGTCCGTGAGTGCCTGGAAAATGAGGGGATCCCATTGCTGCGTTGCTTTGCTGTCCCGACCTCGCAGTTGCAAGAGTGACTGGTGAAACAAAGTGTACCTCCTTGAGCTCTGAGTCCGCCATAGCCCGTGGGAAACTCTGCACCATGCTGATGTTCTCTCTCACGGCCAATTTATATGCCTCCTTCCTGACCGCATGCTCATATTTTAGCAAAATATTCCAGGGTGGGTGCAAAGGCCTGGATTCTTCTCCATGTCCTGAAGGCACCGGAAGCGCATAGACCTTCTCACCCAAAAGAAAATCTCCAAATTTGGCAAAGGTGCTCGGTGTCAGGTTCTGAAACCACGTCCGTGTCTTGAATTTCGATCCAAGCATTAACATTGTGTTGCACTCTACTTTCAACTTCAACCTCAGTTCCTCTGAGTTCGCCGGGAGCTTGGACTTCTTCCGCTCTCGTGTCACCCTCAACCTGCCACTGCTATCCACAGAGCTCTGGATGGACATGGTGAGCGCTTCTTCTTTGTTCCCCAGCTCGTCCAAGGGCGACGCCACCAACTCTCCCTGCTCTATCTCCTCTAGCTTCTGGGACAGATAATCACTGGAGGGTGTTTCCCTTTCTGGCAAATGTCCATGCACTGTTTCTACTGCATGCAGCATGGCGTTCTTGTCAGTGAATGTCAGTGCCCGAGGAACCCCTGATGCTTTGGCCTCGGCCCTGGCCTGCCTCTCCTTCTCAGATATGTCGCAGGATTCACCCCCAGGTCTGCTTGGATTGCCTCCCGTACCGCGTCCTTGGTGTCCCCCAACACTGCAAAACGTCGAATAGTGGGATAATGCAACGCCAGCTGATATTGATGCTCCAATGATCCCATGTGAATAGTAGATCTGAATCTGCGTTCTTGCGCAGATAGGTCGTCATCTCTGCAGGTGTAGGATTTGGAATCGCTGCCATGGCAAGATCCCTTGCAAGGCTAGTGCAAGCCAAACAAAATTAGGGGGGCATCAATCCCAACCCAGGGAAACGGGCACCAGAACCCAACAGGTCCACCTGAGGTTTGCCAAACATTCAGTTTTGAGCCCATCACTCCGTGACATCACCAATCAAACTCCGCATGCCTTCTCCGTCCGTGAGGCATGAGTGATGTCCATCTTCCACCAACCCCCTAATGCATTGAGCAAACCAATTAGCGGGGGGGGACCAACCGCAACCGTTCTTTTCGCTGGGATCCGCAGCGATCAAGCAGGCGGGGATTCCTCCCCCTGTCCTCTGTCCGTGCCGCCACTCTCCGACTCCGTCGAAGTGCTGCTTCCTGACGTGTCACTTGATGCAGCCTTGTCTTCGTCTGCCAGCGGTCCTTTGGAGCCACGCCAACAGTGTTTGCACCATGCATCTGCAATATTGGCTTTCAGATTCCAAATGGAAATTGAAGTAAACACTGAATCAGGATCAACCATGCATTTACCTGTTCGGCGCAGCCGCTTGAAGCCTGTTCGCCTTGACACACTTATCCAGAAAGGTGGTGGCTCCCCTTGCTTTCCAATGATAACCTGCTGCGGCAGGTCCTCCTCGTCCAATGCCCCCCGGCCAATCCAGTCCTCTTCCAGCATGGGGTACCTCCCCCCCAGCCTCCGTCGGCCAACGCCAGCCAGCCTGCGCCACACGTTGTGTTTCGCGATCTCTTCTTTTGCATTTAATCCCACTGTTGTGGCATATTGTGCCAAACTTTGCAACAGCTCCGACTCATTGTAGACGGGGCTGCCCGTCACCACTGCCTTTGTGACCGTCTCCTGGATGTCCGTCACAATTTGCCTGGCAGTCAAAACATATCTGAAGTGTCACTTGCCGCATGCCATCGTCCAAGGTAAGACCGTTTCTCTGCTGGAATGCCCACTGCCGCTGCCCAGCTAACTAGGCAGTGTCGAGGGCTATGGCCCGTCCAGAAATTGAGCATCTCCCGTGGTAAGAGCAGTTCCTCCGTCGCCGTCCACAGACCCTCCGCCCGTTTTGGCGTGCGGAACTTTGCCATTGCTGCCTTGATCCACGAATTGAAATCTGTAACCTTGATGTACCGTCGGCTGAAACTCGCACCACCTATATGTGGCAGTGTGATAAACATATCCTCAGGGAAATCCCGAGATACTTCCTCGTACAAATCAAATCCAATCTGCAGCCAATCGAAACCTGACAGGTTGGCGAATCGATGTACAAACACTGGGAGCTCCCGGATCTTCCGTCCTGGACCTGAGATTTTGCTCCGCGTCAGTGTCCCACGCAGCCCCAGCTCGCTGAAACAGAAGCGCCTACGATCCAACCATTGTACATCGTCGGCCCGCATCGCTGTCCAAATCATCAACAAGAAAATCCAGCTGAAAATCCGATCCACCAGTGAAACCTGTATATCCGCCACCTGCAACTCCGCCGAAATCAACATGGCAATCGAATAACACTGCGCCGTCTTCTTGGGGGGGGCTCCAGTTTCCAAATCCTTCCGCAGCCCATCAACAAAGTTGATCAAGACAGGATCCAGTGACAATCGCTGTTCTTTCGGGAGCCCTCCCACACTTTCTAGCAAACCCAAAGCTGACAAGATTGTTCCCGGCACTGTCGGTCCGCATGGCTCCAACGCCCGCTCTTCCAGGTACGCCATCACATCAGCAGGTGTCCTCGGCCACGCGCGCCCCTGCACCAAATGAAGCCAAGTTCTAAAGCGCTTCCAGGTTCTTGCAACATTCCTCAATGTTGAAGGTCGCCTTGCGCCAAAGAGTCGGGCCCAAGTTTGGGGTATATTACCAGTTTCCACCGCAACATGCGCCGCAGGGAGTCCACCTTCAGTTATATACTCAGCCAACTGCGCGGTCCAGCGAAGTGTCTCCGCCTTCTCCAAATCTGCACGACCAGCTCCCTCCGTTTTCAAGCCTCGGCCAAATGTCGTCTTTGCCACCCTGCGTACCAGCTCCAAGTCAGTTGCAAGCAGTTGCTGATAAACCTCAGTGGTTCTGCTACCCATGCTGCTCTGCGCAAGCCTCGGCTGCATCGCCCTCGCAACCAATGCACTCTTCCTGCGCTTAATCAACAACCTATTTTCAAGCAGCCATTCCCAAAGTGTATCTCCGACCTGCAACACTACCAACGGATCTTCGTCAGGGTGCAGTTCTGCAAGCGCCTCCTGCACTTCACGCTCTGAATCCACAGCTACTGCAAAAATGCTGACATCTTTGTAATATTGCCTCAACCGCACCCGATACAACTCGGGAATAACCACGCATTCCATCCAATCCATTTTTTTCGCGCCACCCCCCTTTTCGGGGTGGTACACGAAGTGCTCATTAACCAGCCAAAGAATGATCCGCAATGGCTGCCCATGGTATTCATTAATGCTTGCTTCACGCATGCTCAAATGCAATGTGTGTTCCGATTCCTGTTTCACAAGAAAAATGTTCGAGCACATCACCAGTTAAAAATTGTTGTAACATAATCAGACAACCGCCACAAGCCCTATGCAAGCCTTGTGTTCGGCTCACAAAGATGTAGTTGACACTCCTACAACGCTTAACGCGCCATTTCAAAAATGGGAGCACAATACCCCAGTTGGAACAAACACCTTGGGCGAGCCCAATCAATTTTGCACCTTCAAGGTTTTTCGCGATGAACTTGAACAGGATCAGTGGATCCAGCTCGCTGCCTCTCCGGTGAGGTTCATGCTTGAGAAGTTCACTTCCGGCCAGGCATTGCTTGTTGGGTCGCCCTGGCGCAGACGCTGGTTCAAAGGGCAACGTGAGACTGTGAAGACAGACGCCCAGTCTGATGCCTTCTCGTTCAATGCGCGTGTTTCCCAGATTGGCTTCGATTTGACGCTCAAGGAGTCGGGATTCAACGGTGTTTACATGAACCCTGTTCCGCCGATTGACACGCTGTCGGTGCTGTGGGTCATCGTGTGGATGGGGCCCAGCAAGGCTCAAGTGCTTGTGCAATCACAGAAATGTGACTTTCAGCTGGGCGTGGTTCGTACTAATCGCGGCTATGGCATCAGGGTTCCGGTGGACAAGCATGACGCTGCTTATGTCTTGTTGAGGCCAAACGAAGTGGTGCCGCCGGTTGTGGTGGGACGCCTGATGTTCCGCATCGAACCGCTTGAACCCGGCGTAACAATTGAGAACGTTCGGGCTTGGTTGACATCCCTGCAGTGGGCAGGCGCTTCTGTTGTGAGAGCTGTCGGACCCCGGACATGGTTGGTTGCGGCCACCAAGGAACCCAGCTCGCTGCAGACTTTCACTACCTCGCTGGAGCAGTCTGTTCAGAAGGTCACTGGTGCTCAGGAGACCAGGATGAATGAAGGCTTCGGTGAGTTGCGCAATCTCATTTTAGGCATGCAGGAGGGACGCCACACGCGGCCCCGTCTCTCGAATGAGCGCATGGAGGATTGACATGTGTGGCAGCAGAGATACCTGCTGCGGGCCCCCCTTGCAAAACTGAACTGTTCCACCTTTTTGTCCAGAGAGAGATACTTCTCGGGGCCCTTTTTGCATGATGGGGTCTGTCGCATGGGCGCACCTAAGCTGTGGCTGCTTCTGTCAGCCACCCGGGTGTGTATGCTACCAATTCAATGGGTCTCCACCCAGATTGATGTCATCGGTATGTGGCAACTATTCGGCGTATTTCCGCCGCATTGTGGATCTTTGCCCTTTAGTGATGTGTCGGTTTTTGTACCGTTTTCGACAAGCCTTGTGGTTTGCCACAGCAGATGCTGTCTCCTTCGGGGTGAAGGTGGGGTATTTGACTTGCCTCACAGTCGCGTGTGCCGTCCATTTCCTCATGTGTGTGGTCGGCCCAATAATATCTTGATCGTTGGGTCATCGGATCAATTGCTCCTTGGCCACCCACCTGATTGTTGGGATTTCC